TTTTTCCTAGTTCATCATCTGTTTGTATCAGTTTCCCCAAAAATGTGAACTTCTTGCTGGTCAAGGGAGCAGTTAGCTTTTATTTGGCCCAGATCAGATCCATTGGTTTTTATTACATTCAATAGTACTCATAGAAACTTTTTTTTCAAATGTATGATTTGAAGGAATCTATCTTCTTTCCTTTGCTATCTGTGCTCAGCTTTCACAACCAGTATCACCACTAGAAATATCAGATCAGTTCCCCGAGTACAGTAGTTTCTTGCTTATTGTAAAGATACTTCTGAAGAATCATGCTCTGGCACACTTATTAGACCGACCTTGTTATAGTCAGTGAAGCAACTTCTTGGATTTCTCTTACTCTCTCAATTATCTGATCTTGTAACACTTGACTATTTCTCAGATCTGCTTGATCATTTCACATTTCTCTGTCAATGTATGGCTGTGTTCTTCTTTGTCACTCTCTCCCTAAAAATGTTTCTTTCATTCTAGAATATTGTTTCTAGGCAGTTTCAATACATTATTTCTACTTTCCTTTAACCTCATTTGATTCCGTTCGGAACATTTCTCTTCAGCATTCTTATCTTTCCTAGACATCTTTTCTTTCCTGGTTTATGATCCCCATATTTTGCTGGCATCCTCTTTTGCCCAAAGCCTCTTGCCCCATTGTTCTGCCCTAGCTCCGGATTTCTGAGAATATTGACACACACCAATGGTCCTTATCAAATTTATTAAGTAGCAAGAATAAATAAGACCGGCAAAGGTTGGCAACCAGCCCAGAAAACAAGATACGATAAACCAAAATACTCTGATAATAAATACGAGTTGTTTCCAGCAAGAAAGCACTAGCTGTGTGTGACTTAAATAGGCTAAGGAAGTGACCAATTATCCTCAAGCCCTGTTCTCGAGTAGACCTCCTCCTCCTGAGTAGCCACTCCTGCCTTTTGGCAACCCTGCGTGCTCGAGCATTGAGGAGAGGCTCCTCCACCTCGCTCTCTCCACTTGAAGGAGCCTCTGGAGGTTCTAAAGGCCCTGGCTGAGTCTCTGCCTCTGGCACCACATCCTCTTCAGCCTCCTCACTGTCTGACGTGAGTGCTGGCTGCGCAGGCTGCTGGTGTGACACCATACCAGTCTCCTCTTTGTCGGGATCAGCCACAATCCGCGCAGGCCACTGGCAGGCCACAACACTCATACTCCTTTACCTCTTGCTCATAAGAGTCTGCCAGTTGGTGGACGAGGAGGGTCTTCTTGGTTTGCTACTAGTTAAAATGTAACCTGGAACCAGCTGATCTGGGATAAAAAGTCCACTATCTTGTGAAAAGCAGTTAGCAGCTTCCTTTTGCTATCAACAAAGTTTGACATCTCGCAGCGAGATGGACATCCAACCAGCCAATTAACCAACCAATCAACCAACGAACTAAATATTGTAAAATCTAGAAGGCTGAAAACCTGTCATCATCATAAAAGTAGGGATTCAGCTTTACTATAGTATATTGGGCTCCTTCAGAATTTTACTTCCTCAGAATGTTCAGTTGAAAAATATTATTTTTAATTAACAGAAGAGACTAGAGGAGCTTCCAAAATGAAAGCTATTTCTTGTAACAGTAGATCAACTTGCCAGTTTTAGAATGCCATTTGGCTAACAAGGAAGTTTTTTGTACATACCCAGACTGCGCAGCAGAATTCCACCTGGGAAATATTTAAAATAGTTTTAGTGTCACTAGCTTTTATATATAATTAGTAGATCAGGGAGATAAATTTTTTAGCAGTGACATTAATAAGCATAGGACCCGCTGAGAGGCATTTTAGTTATCTATTTTTGAAATTAAAGTGAAAAGGTTTTATGTTGTTTTTAAAGAGAATGACTGATAGGGATGACATAAAGACAAATGATTACCTTTTCATTTGAGCTATTCTCTATTTTGTAACCACCTTGGAATATTAATTTCTTTGGTTAAATCTGTCAAAATTTGTAAATAAATAAAATAATGATTCTGATTAAAAATGAGATTATCTTCAGTTATTAAAAATATGAAATTCTGACAGCAAAAGTACATCTACAAGAATTTTTTCCACATTCCATTAAGTAGATTGCATTCGGTTAATTTTAATTTGCATGGGGTGGGGTGGATTGTACCAAGAGTAGGATTCCTACTGTTGATCTGGACTTGGGACTTTTCCCTCTGACCCATCTAAGTTCTATTTATACACAAAATGACTATTATAAGGGAAAGACAGAGAGAAGAGAGGGTGCAGATGGGAAGAAATGATATTCAGGAGGAATGTGGGATAATTCCCCAAACCTAATGAGTCACACATTTCAGACCAAGGTCATAGTTAATTATACATTATATTTTTAATTGCATTTCTTAAAAAACAGATATGTGTGTATGTGTGCGTGTATCTATATTCATATCATTTCTCCTAATATACCTACTTTTTGTTTCTAATTACATTTGAAATAACAGTTTCAGTATACACATTTTTTTTAGTTGCTTGTATTTCATATTTTTCTTCCAAGGAATGTAGATGAACCATATTTTATATTCCTGTCAGCTCTTATTAGAGCTGTAATGGATGAATTTGCACAAAATGCTTGATCAAGAATAAAAGATGATTATATAAATTATGCATTTATACATGTAGCTTGTTTGTACCCATTTTGTTCCTTGTTGCTAGCACCATTTTTAAAATAAAGAAAATAACAATAATAATAGGAAAGGTTTAAATGGGATGCAGTTTTATTTAGAGGTCCTGATTAGTAACTTCAAAAGAAGCCAGAGTTCATGTGTGAGAAAAAGCCATGATTTAAAATCTTAGTTTGTAAATGAGCAACGAGTCACGATCTTCGGTTGGATGACAGGTGAGAGAAACTCTACCTGGTTTAGCAAATGTGCAAGCAAGGAAGATCAAAGTAGATATATTCATAGTAAAGACACACCCAGTTGCTTAAATCATCCAGAAAACTGCATAGATAGCAGAGATTTGAATACAGGTTATATACTCTTGTATAATCTGAGATTTAAACAGTCTGCTCAAGTATTGTGATTTGGCTGGGGGAGAGAAGATATGTAGATAGCAAACATTCAAAAGGTCACAACTTTCACAATGTCTAATTTTGTTTATAGCAACTAACATTTTCAAATCAGTGTTGGCTGTCTCTACTGTGATTGAAGTGGGAGTTTGACCTATAGCCATATATAGTGGTGTTGTTTGGTTAGATTCAGCTGAAGCACTCAATAAATCAGCATTGGAATTGCAGCTTAATTTCTACACTTAAAACAAATAAAACATTGCCTGGTTTGAATTATGATGGTTCTACTTCGTTGAAGTCCTCAGAGAGGAAATTAGATGGGAGTTTCTTATTTTCATTACTTTCACTGATAAATGTGCATTTATGAGCTTTAGCTGAAAGCTTTTGCTACCAACATCCTGTATTTAGTTCAAGTAATAGTTGTGAATAGATCATATTCCTAAACATATACAAGCTTTCTTCAGCACTGATTCTGAGATGTACATGCTTTTTGATAATCAGTTGGCACTGTGTATTTTCAAAACAAAAAAAATAATAATTTCATGAGTGGTTGCCTTATAAATTTGTAAATGAGCAACACTTACTGTGTTGATAGAGATTGCTAGCCGTAAAGGTATTTTCTTAATATTTCCCAATTTTGAAAATTGTTCAGATATTCCCCCACAACCAAAATATGCAGAATCCTTATAAATACGGAAGAAATAATTTAACAGTTTGAGAGATGAGTTGTTCATTGTTGTCTTTCATTCAGAAGTTCCCTAGAACATTTACAATCAATATATGAAGATTCTCCTTCTCTTCTTCAGTCTGATTGTCCATGTTTTTAAAAGCTTCTGCTACACTGACAACTGATGTAAACCTATCTTCTAAAAGAATTTTATGGGGCAACATTAAATCAAATACAATTATTGTAAAGTTCTATAGGGGACCATTTTAGGGATTATAAATGTCAAAAGTTTTCTTTCTAAACACTGGGGCCTCCTGCAAAATTAGATTATTTCCTTCCTTCCTTCCTTCCTTCCTTCCTTCCTTCCTTCCTTCCTTCCTTCCTTCCTTCCTTCCTTCCTTGCAATTATGTTTAAAATGGAAGACTAGCTAAAAGAAGAGTGAAAAACAGTTATATCATTTTGAGGAGCAATATAAAACTGTCAGGAAGAAAGTGGGGTCAGTGATAATATTTGGTAGGTGGATAAACATGCCAAATCTAGTCTGAATATCTGAATAACTGTACAACGAACCATAATAATTAGACTGTAAGACTATTATATACATCCTTTTGTGTTTTGTGTTAATAATACAGAGAATAATTAAATGTGAAAAAACAAAGAAGATCTCACACTGTTTGGTGTATAATTGATACTTTGTCATAGTTCCCAAAATCACAAATTACATTATGTTTCCATAGGCATATGGAAGAGTTGCTTTAACTCTCAACAGTTCCAATGAGCAAAGCTATCATAATAATTTAGTGTGGCAACCATGGAATTGAATTTGCAGTAACACTTCTTGCAGCATTAGTTGGGTATCAAGCACCACTTTCTAAATTACCAAACCGTATAGTCTAGAAAGAACTTTACCACCTTAATAAGAACTAAGGCTTAATCTCCTGTTGCATAAATTTCAGCTTGATAAGTGTGGAACAAATCCATTGGTCCAAGTATATATGAAACCAGTGCACAACAAGAGACTTGCACAATCAGCTGAAAGTATGCATGTGTCTACAAACAGAGAGAGAGAGAGAGGGAGGGAGAGAGAAAGAAAGAAAGAGAGGGAGATTATCTCTTTGAAATAGTCCTCTTTAACATAAGGTTCCCAACTGTCTCACTTCTGATATGTATTTGAGGGTATATCTGCTGCTAGAGTGTTTCATTTGCTTCTGAGCAGTGAAATATTATCAAATACCAATTATGGTAATAACAACCGAATGTATGACAACCATTTCCTTTTCATATTTTTTATGTACTTACAGGAATTCGATATGCTTTCTACAGAATTCAGAGAGAAATGTGAACAAATAAGCAAGAAGCTCATATTCTTGGAAGAGCAACTTCAGCTAGCAGCCTGTAGCTATGATGAAAACCTTGTTCATATCCTTTTTTTTTTTATGTGTTGTATTAAGTACTCCAGCAGAAGGGGTTGTATTCAACTCCCGCATTGAAACTTGCCGTGTGTGAATCTTGCTTAAGATAACTATTGTAGTATTGTTTCCTAAAGATGTTAACTAGCCAAATAATGACAGTTTAAAAACTATCGGATTGATGAGAAATAACTTTTTAAACAGATCTAATAGTATGCTTTTGAGTGCTATAAAATAAAAGTAACTAATTCCTAGCTACAGCATTGACTCGGAGACTGGAAAAGAAAACCTTGTTTCATGAGCATGCATCTAAAACAAATATTTTTAAAGGGAAGCAGATTAGCTCATGCTGAGCATAGAGTTCCAGTAAATCACATAATTATCTGTGCTCATCTCATAAAGGCTCTTTTTATTTGAAGTATTGGCCATTCGAGGAGAAAAAGGCTTTTGTTTAGTTCTACTGAAAGATTCTCATCAGTCATGTTATCACTTTCCTCTGCTACCCTAATTATCATATGACATATTTTTTTCAAAGGCAAAAAATCTATTTAAAAATAGATTTTAGGCAAGGGCAAAAAAATAAATATCTATTTAATATTTATATATTTATTTATACTAATCAGTCCACTCTACCTTTAATATGCTACCCCACCAGGGTTTTACTCTAGGAACAGGCAGACAGCCAATTCTGACTTTTTCCACAGGTTGTAAGACTTTCATTGGAAGAACCAGAGACTATTACTAGAGACAACTTGAGGTGGTGAATATTTGTCCATGAATTCACCGGAAGTCAATTCTATCTTGATGACATTTCAGTCAACTAAGAAATGTATCAAGCGTGCAGCCTTGGAGCCTAAAGATTACCTAAATTGTCATCAGGAAAGAAAGAAATAGCAGGATGCTATACAGCACAATATACTATGTAGAATGAGGCACTTGTGCTTCCTACTTCTCTCTGTATATGATTAGGTATTATAATCCACATAAGGATAATGGTTTTTAATTTTATTAAGCTGTGTTAGTGAGTGCTGGTTGCCTTTCATCAACTTCCTTCCAAAATATTTTTTGATTCCGTCCATTTTAAGAATATCTTAGGGCTGCACCTTGTAATTTCCTTGTTGCCTTGCTCCCTTCATCCAGTAACAAAACCCATTTTCACTTGTCTCAGCAAACCTTCTGTTCTTGGGCATCTAACTTTCCCCCTGCTTCAGCCTCTGTATTCACTGTGCTCACTGTCTCTGGCTTCAGGTCCTTTAATTCCCTCCTCCTTTCCTTTACCTGCATCATCACAAATAATTATTAGTAATTAGATTTAGCTCCCCCCCTTTCCTCCAAGAGTTACATAGGGGTCTCCTTTCATGTTTAGCTCCACAAAAATAATTCACCGAGGAAGTTTGAGCAAAGAACAAGGAAAGTCCCTCGGTGAACTTCTATGTCTATAGCTGTGGTGGGTTGCCCCTGGTTCGGACCGGTTAGCAAGAAGCGGTAGTAAAACCGGTGGGAGGCTCCGCCCACTGATCCCAACGTCATCAGGAAGCTTCTGCGCATGCGCAGAAGTGCACGCAGCCCCATTGTGAACCGGTAGTAAAGGTAAGTACAACCCACCCCTAGGCTATAGACTTTAACCAGAGTATTCCCAGTCTTAATCTTAACCACTATAGTGCCATTTTTAACTGGGCCCATGTATCTCAGTGACCAGCTTTTCCATCTTATCTGTTAAGGAGTGGGGTTAATCAGAAGAATTTTTCACTGAAACAAGCAAAAGGTTTGTTTGAGGGCTTGTTTGAGGTTGGTTGTAGTAGCAAGAGGCTTTCCAAAGATTGTCTTTGCTTGCACTGCACTGAAATTTTTGCACTTATTGCTTTGCACTCACATAATAGTTTTCAATTTTTTTTCTATCAGCCATCTAATATAATTCTAAATTACCAGTTGGATCAGATGTATTCCTGAGCAGTCAATTCCTCAGAGTCTGTCAGAAAATCATTTATCTAGTGCTCTTGAAACTGAGTGAAATCTTTTCTCTGGCTTGATCTAAATTAGGTCAGTTTAAAATATGCTGGTTTTCACAGAGCCCATAAAGGTTCATCTGAACCATTTTTGTGCTAGTTGTTTGTCATGCTAAATATGAAAAATGAAGAATAGATAAATTCTTGTTAATATTAATTCTAAAGTCTTGTTATTTCCAAACTACACATTTATAATACTTTATGTTAAATATTAGAGTAGAGTATTGTTAACAAAAAATATCTGTTAACTTTTATAAAGTTGTATGGATTACAAATATCTGGCACAAAGGTAGTTGTATTATTATTGAAGAGGCTATAAATTGCTAGTAAAGAAATTGGTAATTTTAATATTAGATTTACAGTAATCAAAACATGCAAAAATAGCTCAAATTATATTATCCAGCTTACTTTATGTACTTTATATTTCTAATATTAATGCCCTCTTAAGAAAGAAAATGCACTTACTGAATTTGTAGAAAGATGGATAGGACTCAACCACTTGTGTAATGTTGTTCCTGATGGCCACTACCATCTTGTTCAGCTGAATCTATACACAGAGCTGACACCCTTGTGGCACTTTTTTAATGTACTGTGAACACTGCTTTTCCATGGTTCCAAGTCTTATGGTGACATTGCTGCTTAGGGATGGTTGCACACTGAAGCAACGTGCATTGCCTATATTCTCAGTCCCCCATCCTTGAAAATAGCTGAAAGTACACAAAATAAATGAGTTCCCAAATAGAGAAGATTCTCATGTACTGACAAATCAAAGGATACATATCTTAAAACACAGTTCCCCTTAAAATATTCAAGGACTACTTATTATTCCTGGAGGAAACGTCCTATCTAGACCCATTCCAGTCGGGTTTCAGGCCTGGGCACAGCACGGAAATGGCATTGGTCGCATTGGTTGATGATCTCTGGAGGGCTCGGGACAGGGGTTGCTCCTCTGTTCTGCTCCTATTAGATCTCTCAGCGGCTTTTGATACTATTGACCATGGTATCATGCTGCACCGGTTGGAAGAGTTGGGGATGGGGGGCACCGTGTTACGGTGGTTCTCCTCCTTTCTCTCAGACTGGTCGCAGTTCATGTTGGCAGGGGGGCAGAGGTCGACCTCGAGGCCTCTCATCTGTGGAGTGCCGCAAGGGTCGGTCCTCTTGCCCCTTCTGTTCAACATTTATGTGAAGCCGCTGGGCGAGATCATCCGTGGCTTTGGGGTGAGAAACCTCCAGTACGCTGATGACACCCAGCTGTACATCTCCACCCCAGGCCACCCCAGCAATGCCCTTGAAGTGATGGCCCAGTGCCTGGAGGCTGTACGGATCTGGATGGGGAGGAACAAGCTCAAGCTCAACCCTTCCAAGACTGAGTGGCTGTGGTTCCCGGCATCCCGATATAGTCAGCGATATAGTCATCCCGATATATCCATCGCTGACTATTGGGGGCGAGTCTTTGGCCCCCGTTGAGAGGGCGCGCAATCTGGGGGGAGTCCTGGATACACAGCTGTCTTTGGAGGAACATCTGACGGCTGTTGCCAGGGGGACCTTTTGTCAGGTTCGCCTGATTCGCCAGTTGCGCCCCTTTCTTGATCGGGATTCCGTGTGCACAGTCACTCATGCCCTCGTCACCTCTCGCCTGGACTACTGCAACACTCTCTACATGGGGCTCCCCTTGAGGAGCACCCGGAGGCTCCAACTGGTCCAGAATGCGGCCGCGCGGGTAATTACGGGAGCTGCATGGCGCTCCCGCATAAGACCGCTCCTGCGCGAGTTGCACTGGCTCCCAGTGGTCTTCCAGGTGCGCTTCAAGGTGTTTGTTACCACCTTTAAAGCGCTCCATGGCATAGGACCTAGTTATCTCCGAGACCGCCTTCTGCCACCGATGACCTCCCATCGACCCGTGCGCTCCCACAGAGAGGGCCTCCTCGGGGTGCCATCAGCCAAGCAATGTAGGCTGGTGACCCCCAGGGGGAAGGCCTTCTCTGTGGGGGCACTTACCCTCTGGAATCAGCTGCCCCCAGAGATAAGGAGAATCCAAGACCTCCATGCCTTCCGCCTTTCCCTTAAAACTTTCCTTTTCCAAAAAGCCGGGCTGGCCTAACAATGCCTTTTAAATGATTTTAAATTTGTATGTTTCTTAAATTTTTTGGCCAAATTGAGATATTTCCTTTTAATTTGTTCTTAATGTTTATATTATGTGTTTTTATCTGGCTGTACACCGCCCTGAGTTCCCAGGAAGAAGGGCGGTATATAAATTAGAAGTAAAATAAATAAAATAAAATAAATAAATAAATTATGCATATTGTCCTACAATTTTCCCTGTGCAAAAAATGTGGCCATTTAGATGCCGTTCAGATAAAATCCCATGGATGAGGAACCTGAATTTCTGAAAATCTCAGAAGACAATGGCTCCCTGGATAAAACTTGCTGAATCAAGATGTAATGTTAGGAATGAAAACATAGAAGATTGAAGATTATTTAAAACTGTCATTTGTCAACATTAGGACAGGCATCTTCCAGGGTGACTCATCATCCTTATTATTTATTATTGCTATGACCCCATTTTCACTGATTTTCAAGAAAACAAACCACACATCCATGAAAAGAAAAAAGTGTTGATGATTGTTGTAGCAATACCAGGGGATAGAGAATAGAAGACAAAAAGTAGAGAAGATCACATAGTATCAAGATCCCAAAATCGAAATAGAAAAGTTATGACATAAATCAGTTATGGTAGTCCCAGCACACTGGGTGCCATACCAAAAAATCTTGGATGGCAGTTAGAAAATATGCACAACATTTTGCACATGTGCATAGAAATATGACAACATTTCTATCTGTCAATGCAAAAGCCCAAACTGCTTATATACTATATCTACATATACTGAATCAATGCACGATGCCATCTTACGTTCTTGGGAAGAGCTTGATGCATATGAAAGCCAATACCAGTTAAAGAACTGGCAATGTGATTTCACATTGTTGTGAATAGATAATAATAAA